TTGTTGGATCAGAAATCTGTTGCTTGCTAGTTTTCTACTTTTGGTTCCTTCTTGTACTAGTTGTGTTTAAAGAACTTGAAGTTCGTGAAATTTTGAAGAAAATTATTTGTTCTGAACAACTTGCCCTTGATGTTTATGGTTCACATGGACCTTTTAGGAAGGTCTTGTATCTACCTTCTGTCATGGAGCTTAGATAGAAAGTTCCGTCCTCGATGATTTGAGGAAACCAGATTTTACAATTGAGAATCGAGTCAAAATGAGTTGATATGATGAAAGCAATTATATATTTTCTTGGTTTGTTTCAATTACTAAAAAGTCTTGGGTTCTTGCGCTTCCTTGACTAAAATAAATTTACCTATCAAAAAAATATTTTCTTGGTTTGCTTATGATCTGTGTGTGTATATACACACATATATACTTGGAGACAAAAAACAACACTTGTATCAATTGTTTACAAGGTCTACGCCTTTTGGTTGCCCATATTACTTGAGTTTTGACTCATACTTATCAAGATTTTTCGGAAAGGTGTTGACTTTTTAGGTCAAGATAATTTTTCCCATGCTAACGTATGATCTTCTATTTAGAATACTGGATCTCTGCTTACAATGAGGGCAATCTGATTTAAAGTATGATAAAAGTTTTAGCAGATCTTTATAAAAGTTTATGAATTGTGTGATTGAAAAGTTGGTAAAAGTTATGATTCGCAGGAGATGTAGGTTTAAAATTAGTTTGGCATCATGAATTAGGTCGGGGTGGCTGGTGGCTTTGGGATCCCGTAGAAAATGAGTGGTTTGATGGGAGTAAGAATTTTCAGGAACATTTGGAACGTTTCGTTTATGGACGGAAGAGCAGTTTGCAAGTAGTGTTCGATCAATTACGTATTAATCAATTTTAAGTAGGATTTTTGGGAACGTATCAATAAGCTAAACCCATGCTGTGAGTTTTTTCATGCCATAAATAAATTTGGAACACTCAAGAAACTAGTTGAAAAGTTGACAAAATTTAAAATTTATCAAACAAGCACTAAATTCGTTATGTTGAGTTTCTCCTATGATTCCTAACTACTTTCTCTGCCCTTTCAACTGCCATTCTCTTCCATTTTACATTTCGTTTTTCAATATGTACCACTTGGTTATATGGTGATGTACATGTTTTTAGTTGTAAGCTCTGATACTTTATAATTCTGTCAGTCAATCAAAAGAGTTCACAGACACTCAGAGCTTGTTGGCGCATTGCTCCATGTCACACAAGTTTGGGTTGAGAGCACAACATTTGGGTCTTCACAGAGCAATATGTGTTCTAATGGGATGGGACAGTATGAGTGCCTCAAGTATTCCTACAATGGTTTCCATATCTGAAGCTTTGGCTCAAAAAGATGACCTTATACTCTGGCCTCCAGTTATCATTGTACATAACACTTGTAAGTTTCGCAAAAGTTCCACGGGAAAAGAAGTAATAAATCTGGAAGCCTTTGAGGATTTCCTTAGAGGTCAGTACATGATTTATTTTATTTGGTGGACACACACATATGGATATATCCACTACACATTTGGTTTCCCCTTCTGTACCAAAATCCACTCTTGTCTAGGCGGGGGCTTGGCATTGATCCCTACCTCGTCTGCTGAGGCGAGGAGGGGGCATACCAACCCTTACCTCCGGAGGTACAAAAGGAGGAGGAAGAGAACTTGTAGATCTATATTACGGATTACTGCTCCCATCACATAGGATCCTTACGGAAAACAATTTGAAAATGGATGCACGATATCTAATATGAAATTGTGCATGACTGCGTTCATGTTTCTAATATCTGAAAATGACAATAGCCATCTCTTTTGCTTGGCTGCTTTCTCATGTGTGGTTACAGGTAAAGGCTTTAGTGGTGGACAAATGAAGGTATGCCTCGGGAATCCTGGAAACACTATTATAATGGTGGTGAAATTCTTGGGCACGGCAACTGGTTTACAAGATGCAGAGAGATTAAAGAAATACTTTGAAGAAAACAATCGTGGTAGAGCAGATTTTGAGAAACTTGCTTCTGTTGAAGGCAAAAGACGCAATAGTCATGAAGCCAGAACAAAAGCAGGCAAGCTAGACGAGCTTTTTCTGTATGGCTACATGGGAATAGCAGAGGATCTGGATAAAGTTGATTTTGACACCAAGAGGAGATGCTCGGTTAGGAGCTACAAGGAGATTCAGGATATTGCTAATGATCCTGTCAAAGTTGATCACAGCTAGTGCAACAACTGAAATATTTGACCGCTTACTTATATTTGACTTCTTGTGAATATAAAAGTAGATTGAGAAATCGATTCTGCTTTTCCATTTACGTTTTGGTTAAGTGAATTGTGAGTCTGCCGGGGTTGTATTTTGTATAATAATATTAGATGGATGTGCTGTTTCCTATGACAAACTTTGTCAGTTGACAGTATAAAGTCACCAGTTTGGGCATTGACAAAAATATTGCTCATGTTTTCTGGAAGCTTGTGGAGGTTATGCTGCCTTCTTTTAAAGTCTTTCCCATTCTCAGCTTGCAATTAGATCTCTGTTCTCGAGGCAAAATGAAGGCATATGTAGACATAACTAGTATGTTATTGAACAGAGATAAGTTAGTTGTGTATTATCTCAAAATAAACAAAAACAAACACCAAGATACACTTCAAGAATATCAAGGGTAGAAGCAAATAAGGTTAAGAAGAAATCCAACAATATTTTTATTTAATTTGAAGAACAATCAAATTACGTTAATGTACATTCATTTCTTTGCCAAAAAACTAAATGAAGTAAATGATTACCAAAAAAAAAGAAAGAGAACACATGGAAATTTAATTTGCCTTCTTAGGATATATTTCCGTAACTGTCTGTGCATGACAAATTTTTCTTGATTTCTTGTCCTCTTCATCTCCTCTGGAAGTTCAACACCTTGATGCCATATACAAAGACAGAGAAGAAAAGAAGTGCCCAACCAACATGTGCCAAAGCAACATATCCTAGGAAATCGGATTCATAACCTAGAAACTGTTTAAGATAGTCCTTCACTGGGATGCCACCATGATTGGGTACAAGTACATTGTCCGTTATGTCCCCAACTTGTGATGTTACAAGCCCATAGATGGTCCATGCCACTGGAGAACCCCAGTAGTACCACCTCCACCATATGGGAATTTGCTGCAAGTTTTAAGATTTTATACAGAATTAGATTCATTCAATAATATAAATCTTAAAACAAAGTCATTTTATTTTTAGGATAAAGGAGGAGGGTTATGGCAGGTTGACGATTGCAAATATTTGCCAACTTTGGAAAAAAATGCAACCGTATTGTTAGAAGAGTGATTATATTTACCATTCGAGGAATGAGGAAACCCGAAAACAGGTTCCAGAAGCTGAGGAAAAATGACATGACAATTGCAGCTATTTGGTAACTTGGGGTAAGGGCTACAAGCATCATTCCATAGAGAGTGAAGTAGACAAAGCACATGAAAACATAGTAATAGAACCACAAGAACTTGTCTGCTTGCCAATCGAATCCGATCATCGAGTAAAGGAGAAGGCTGTAAACAAAGGTTTGGATGGCTACATAAATTGTTTCTACAGCCACCTGTGCCAAAAAAAAAAGAGAGAGAGAGAGAGAGACTCGACTAACTCCATCACTTCCTCAACAAACATCTGAAATCAATACATAGAAGTGTCAGTTCTTAATTAGTAGATTAAAGTTCAGTATCATAACGTTGGACAGATAAGAAAAAACTTGCCTGCCTTGTTTCATTTTTTACATCTGCTGGAAGACGTAGCCAGGCCGAATACATGAGAGACTCCTCAACGGTAACATGTGGAGAGTGAATGTCATTCTGTTCACAGTAGCCACTAACGCGTGCAAATGTCACTTGATTCTTCAGGTAACCAGATATTCTGATGTCCCCTTCAATGTATCCACCAGTTTTTCTCCCAGCTAAAACATCCATCAAAGTGGTTTTTCCAGCGCCACTGACCCCCATCAATGCTGTTAAAACACCAGGCCTAAAAGCACCACTGACATCTCGCAACAATTGGAGCCGCGTCTCCTCAACTCCTTGGCTTTTCATTTCCTAATAGTCACACCAAAAACAAATAATAGAATACGTTTTCTGATTGATAATTACCCGTAGAAAAAGAGGACATGATCGACAGATTAGTTACTCACTGCTGGCATATCAACGTAGTAATTTACGTGATCAAATGAAAGTGATAAGGGCGTGAACGGGAGGACCATTCCTCGTTTATTAGTTGCACTGACTGAATCGTTTACATTTTCTTGTTCGGGCATGTTTTTCCCTGCAGAAACAACAGATTTTATAAGTAATGAGAATTATAGAAATTGTGCACTCATGTCATTCCAAAAATCCTAGTAGTTCTATTTAAGACAATGAAGTTGAGTTCCAATTCCAAACGCCCAGACCTGGAGAGGCTGAGCTCCTTTCTGTTGCCACCTTCCCATTAGAGAATGGCCGCTTTTTCTTCTTACTTTCACCTTCCGAGATTAAATTAACAGATTTGGAATCTCCCAATGCTGCATTCAAGGTTTAGAAAACAGTTAAACTCGATTTCAGGTTTTCATTTTAAGATTTAAAATGTAGTAAAAAATTAATTCAGTTTCCTGAGAACGGTAACTAATCAATACTTAAAAACTATTATCTTACGTTTCAAGAACGTCAATGCTGCAACAAAGCAGAGGTTGAAGAAAAGAGAAAATCCAAACAGCGCAATAACACAGATCCAATACCAATGTTCTTCCGTGAACATCCCCCTGCCTTCTAGAAGTTCAAGACCAGCATTACTTCCACGAAATTCGGGATCAACATTAGGCTGTGAAGAAGAGATAAGAAGCTCACTGTAAGAATATCAAACGATAAGAAAGAAGTATAAACCCCAGAGTGAAAAAATGTCTGCAAACTATTGGTTAAGCTTACTGTTGACCATCTTTGGTCGAGAAATTCCACTAATACGATTGCATTTTGTCCGTATGACATTGGAGAAAGATAATAGGCCCATTTCATCCATGGCTGAAGGTCGTCTGAAGGAGAAGGAAAAAAAAAGAAAAAAAAGGAAAGATTAAAGATCGACTTTTTAGACTTCACATTTTGGCTATATTTGGAGTTCAACAACATCATTATTGTAATGGTATATGGATATTAGAAGATACAATTTCGAACCTTTGTCAATGATAAATCCGCCAAGGACAAAAACCAACAACAGGGTGAAGGTTCCTAGAGTATTTGCAACAACTTGTGTTCTTCCGAGGGCTGCAATGAAACGGAAGAGACCCAAGGCCATCTGATGGATACCAACAAATGCCAAGAATTGGCGAAAGAACCTGGAATTTCGATTGAGGAACACATTTATTATTTATTTATAGATCATTAAACATTTTTCCCATGAAGGACACAACCTATGAATATGTTTTGGTATGCTATAATCAAAGAGAAGTATTGAAACTTTTACCTGCTAGCAGCAGGAGCAAATCCAACAGTGTAATACGTGAGAATGATCCATATTCCTGACTCCATGAGAGAGATAGGAATCCTGAGGAGCCAAATTGGTAGAGCAAAAGCCCAGGCCGGGTAAAATAGGGCATCCCGTTGTTTGAAGAACACGGGAAGCCTAAATATGGTCATTGCAAGCTCAGCCATCCCATTGAACATCACGTTAATCAGGCTGAAGAAAAGTGCCCCATAGAATTTACCCCCATCATCTATCTCTCCATACTTCATGTGTGTTCTAAAGAACACAGTGAAAGTAAATAGAGCCATAATTGTAATTTGTGTAGTCTTAAAAATGTACACAAATGAGTTGCGTTTCATCAATAACCACTCTCTTGCAAAACAGGCTTTGAAAAGATCTTTGTTCGAGATACCATACTTCTCCTTCACCAATGCAGCTGGATGGGTTTTACTCTTGTCATAAGGGACACTGAGTTCACTGAAAAGTTTCTGCCCCATATAGAAAGACTCAAAGTGATTAACAAAGTCGGATACTGATATGTAACGGTAAGGTGCATTTTTCCTCGACCAATACTGTTCTTGGTCCTTCTTGGAAGTAACCTCCTGGAGAAAATCTGCGACTCCTTTCCTTTCGGGACATTTGAATCCCACGCTCTCAAAAAAATCGAGAACTTGCTCACGAGGACCTTGATATACAATTTTTCCTTCTGAAAGCAATATAATGTCATCAAAAAGATCAAAAGTTTCAGGGGCAGGTTGGAGAAGAGAGATTATCATGGTTAGATCCATTATATGAACCATTTGTCTCATGTACATGACGATTTGAAATGTGGTGGAACTGTCAAGACCAGTCGAGATTTCATCCATATAGAAAACTTTTGCAGGGCCAACCAACATTTCTCCTGCATTGAGAAAAACAAAATGGACCATCTTCATTAGCATTTCCGAATGGCCAATTATAAAGACACCTCAAAACCTCGACCACTTTTTTACATACCAGTCGTTACACGCTTCTTTTGTCCTCCAGAAATACCCCTTCTCATTTCATCGCCGACCATTGTATCAGCACAAATATCCAGTCCAATTATCTGTTGCACAAAACGGCATAATTTGGTTTTATATGTAGATTTCATTTGCCAGATAAATCATACAAATGACAGACAAGAAAACAAACCTTGAGCACATAGTCTGTGACCACACTACTCTTTTGGCCAGCAATTGCAATGGCTTTCATGAACGCATCAATCTCAGGGTCCGGCTTGATTCCTGCACCTTTTTCTCTCCTCGACAACTCAGAAAGCAGTTCATATCTTGCACCAACTCCAAAACAACGCCCTGAAAAATCCAAGGTTTCCCTAACAGTCATCTCACCGTGATGAAGATCATGCTGGCTTATGTAAGCACAAGTTCTCTGAGGAATGAACTCCCTCAATTCGTGGCCACAGTAAGTGATTTTCCCGGTTACCTAATGTCCAAAGCAAAAAATGAACAAGAAAATTAATCAAAGATTAAAGCCAAGGATCAAGAAATGTTCAGAATTCAATAATATGAAACAGTGTGTCTAAAATTACAAAATGACGCACCCTAAGATCTTCCTCTAACTTTCCTGCTAATGCCTTCAGCAAAGTAGTCTTCCCAGAGCTTGGAGGTCCCAGAAGTAGTGTCATCCTGAATATTACACATCAGTGCAAACCTTGGAAGAATGAAATAAATTAAAATTTAAAATTCCCATGTAGTGAATTTTTCAACTATCTTGTCTAAAAGTTTAGATTTTTAGGGACAAGTTCACTTTTTTAAAATTGCTTTCAACATGCTTGTTTTCTGTGCAGATATATTTACTCATCAAACGCTTGACATGAGAACCATAATGACAACTAATTGGCAGTGAGATTTGAATTCACAAAAACTGCCTACTCTAAACGCTTATTTATCTAAATCTAGTCTTCAACACTTACCTCGACGGTTTCACTATTCCAGAGACATCATCTAGTATTTTGATAGCTTTTTTCTTAGATGGGAAAATCTTCAGAGAACCAAGAATACCCTATTCACAACGTTAAACAAAATGACAGGACAAAAATCATTGGCAGCAGAAAAAACATTTTCAACTGGAATTCTTGCCATAATAAAATTAGATTAATCTCTGAATAATTCAGGGCACGAAGCAAATTACCTCGAATGCATTGATGGTTGAATTCAGCAAAGTTGGAAGTGCTCTGCTTCCACAAAATGCATCTCCTTCAATTGATAAATGTTCAAACCTGACTACACATTGGGGAATGCTGATCCCAACCCTGCACAAATAGTTTTATGATTATTATTTTGTTAGTAAGACCTTTTGTAAGTAGGGACTAGAACTTGATCTGTGATGTTCAATACTCATAATTAAAATCATCGATACCTATCAATTCGTTCTCGGAGCTTCAGCAGTAAATTCTCATTATCATCTTCGAAAGCTTTTAGCATACTGTCCATGAGTTGCTTCCTGTCTTCCATACCAAGATGGGAAAGATCAACTTCTTCACGGACAATTGTTCCATTGTCCAAAACCTTGTTCATAATTCCCTTCTTCATACGAGCATAAGTAGGAAGCCTTTCAATGGCAGCCCACTTAAGCTCTTCCTCATCATCACATCTCCCACTTTTTTGGAAAACATCTCCTCCCGGAGCCACCAACGCCTCCCGGATACTGGCAGATGCCCAGCCTTTCCGGCTAGCTGATGCAAAGCTCCCCCTCCGACTCATAGACCTCGCCAAGTCATCTTCTGTCACGGGAACCGCCATTAGTTCTAAATATGATTAATAGCTCCAGAAAATTCGTCACCAAGCAGGTGACAGGAAGAACTTGGTATTGTTTAATGGAAAGAGTGTCGATGAAGGAACTGGGAACCGAACATGGATTGCATGTGGTTGATGGAAGGTTTTTGGAGCCAAAATATATGGGGAGATGTCTGAAAGAGGACATGAATTCAGTTCCGAGAAATGGTATCAGAAAGTCGTCTATATTCCATGCTTTGTCAACTTCCGACAATATCAATGAACAAAACTGTTTCTGAAATATTCAGGTTTTTGTCTCTCTATGTCAAACTTCTTAGATACTTTCCGATACACAAGATAATATTAACATAAAATATATTACTTACATATCCTATTATCAAAATCCCATGGCCAATCACAAGATGTTACAACTACAATGAATAGGTGATTAAGAAAGGAAATGAAGATAAAAAATTGTGAATTTTTTTTTTTTTTTTTTTTATGTGATCTCCAAATGGCCAATGAAATTACAAAATATTGCCGAAAATTGCGGTCGAAAGAAAAAAAAAAATTGCATACAAATTGTCCAACAGGGATTACACCAATTATATGAGAAGCACAAGATGCAAATTTATAAATCACTTTGTTCCTGTCTTTAGAAACATAATAGCATGGAACACAACCCATGTTACCAAAAAGGACGAAGACGTTATATATAGTAATGTTATTTAGTACTACTGGTGCTACAATACTAGTCTACCCAACAGCCCCATCTACCCCTACCCATCCACTCCATACACAAGGGCACTGAATCACTGCCTGCTCCGCCAACACCCCCGCCTCCCTTGCCCGTCCCCCAAGGATCACCTTATTTCGCTTTCCCCGTATCACCCACATGACCCAACAACGAAATTCCAGCTCCGACTGAGAACAGCCCTTAGCTAACCCCATCAGAATTCATCAAGTATTGTCTGCCAAAGAAAATGGTTTTAAAGCTGCACCTTCCCGTCTGTTTCCAGATGAATTTCGCCCCATCACACAAACAGCGCATGGACTACTGTCTCCTGCCCCCCGAGCAAAAGCACTTGCCGTCCTGAATCAACTGCCTCCATGCTAATTAAGGTGAGTCGGTAATGAGTCATAAAAAACCCGCCAAATGGATAACTTAAATTTGGTTTCAGTTTCCACATGAACACAGCAGTGGCTGATCACAGAATTTGACTTTAAGAACTTGAGACCTTAATAGGGAAGAAAAAAATTGGAACATAATATAGCTGTCCAACAAGAAGCTTTATTAAAACATGGTAAATTAAACCATTACTTCAAAATCGTATGCATAAATTTGTTTCTTTATCTACTCTTGGTTTATATACAAGAATGTCTGTGTCCAAAATTCTACTGTGTTTCAAGATTTCCCCTCATCTCCTTTGGAAGTTCAGGTACTTGATACCGTAGGCAAAGACAAAGCCGAAAAGGACTGCCCAGGCAATATGGGTAGCAGCAACTGCTCCAAGGAAGTTGTGTTCAAATCCTAGGGAACTCTTGAGGTAATCATTTAATGGAATATCACCAAGGCCAGGCACTTTTACTGGTTCTGTCTTATCGCCCAACTGAGATGTCACAAGCCCATATATTGTCCATGCCACTGGAGAACCCCAGTAATACCACCTCCACCATATTGGGATTTCCTAAAATATCAAGCATTCAAGAATAATAAGACTTTTTTGGTGAAGAAACTTGCCAAAAGCAGTTCACATCTTCAAGGCATGGTTTAGAAACAAGGAAAAAAAAAAAGAAAAGAAACGAGCATTTTAACAGCTATACTGAGAAAGGAGATTGGAAAACTTAAAATGAGTGAAAAAACTGGTTGTCTTGTGCAAGTTTGGCTTAAAATCATTCCTGTTCCAACTACTCGTATTACAATATCACAAATGAATTAATAACCTCTTTTAAAGAAGTATATAAATTATTTCTCTTTTTTAACCCTATAAAGTTGGTTTAGCAAAAGAAAATTAGGAATGCATCCAAACATTGGAAATCAAATATGTCTAAGAATATAGTACATACTTGCACGTACTGTTTTCATAAAAACTCTTTGTATTTTGTACACTATAGACATAATGAAAGTTTCACACTGCCATTTAACATATGTAATTATCTCAAGTCTTTACACTCTATTTAAATCACCGCATTAATTTTCCAATCACGAGATAAACTCAGAATGTATTTGTTCTACTCTTGGTATTTATTTGCTCGGTAATCATTTTCTAACACACACACACACAATTTTCTTGTCTGGAGGGAGAAAGCATGCATCCTACAAATTTGTTCAATTTACTTTTTGCATGATATGGCTGCTACAAATTGCAAGTCAGGAGCTTTTAATAACAGTTAAGAGCATGTAATTACTTTTGTTCTGCAAGATATTCACTGTACTTTCCTGGGCAAGGACACAAGCATAACTCAGCTTATATGCATCAGTCTGGTTAGTAAAAATTCATATTTCATTTTACTTCTTGGTCTTTTTTTACATAGGAACCACATTCACCAAATACTGCATAATATTTCTCAAATTTCTTTATTTACTTACTGTTCTCGAGATAAGGAAGCCGGAGAACAAATTCCAAAAGCTGAGGAAAAACGTCATGACAATTGCAGCAATCTGGTAACTTGGAGTGAGTGCCACAAGCATCATTCCGTATAATGTGAAGTAGACAAAACACATAAATACGTAGAAATAGAACCAAAAGAATTTGTCAGCTTGCCAGTGGAATCCGATCATGGCGTAAAGGATAAGGCTATATATGAAAGTTTGGATACTGACGTAAATAGTCTCTATTGCCACCTGAGTGTAATAAAACAGAAATTTTTTATGTCATAGAGGCAATTTTTTTTTTATAAACAAACTGGGCATGGATGATTATCATGATACTATGTTTCTGTTACCTGCGCAAATGCATAAGGTAATGCCGAATACATTCCTGCTGCCTTTTCACGATAGAAGACAGTTCTCTCAACTGCTACAACCGACTGCACAGCATAAGTATTTGTTCCTCCAAGGAACATAACAGCAGAAAACATAGCTCCGAGTAAATTCATCAGGTCTTGCCGTTTAGAGCTATTAAAGAGAGATGAGATGTAAGATAAAAGACCAAATGAGAGAAGACAAAGATCTTGGGTCAATGTTTATTTGGAAATTTGACTAGTTAACTTACATTTTCTCTCCCTTCTTCCAGAAAATAACTCCAAATATAAGCCCAATAATTGTTGTCAAAAAAAACCTGATGGCATTGTACTGTGGATGCCTCCAGTAAGAAAAGTATTGCTTCCAGAAGCAAGCTTTGCACTGAGATATGAAGGACTGGGCATACAATGTCGGAAAATATAGGTCACTGCAACCTGGGGCTGGAGAGCTGATCTGTTTGATAACTTCTTGATTCCTTCTGAAAGCGATGGCAAGAACAATAGAGATTTGAGATTTTAGTCAGAAAAGTAAAACCAGAAAATAAACAAGACGGAATTCAAGTGCTATGTTTACTGGTATAAATCAGAGTTGGCATAAATTTCGGCAAAGTCCACATTAAGTTGAGCTTCAACAGCAGGAGTACTGATCTCAAGCATCCACATAGCAGGATTGTACCCTTCTTTGATCTCTGGAACCCCGGGTATAGACTCAAAAAAGAGAAGCATAATCAATTCCAAGATTGAAAAAATAAATAAATAAATAAATAAATTTGTTTGTATACCCTAGGTTTGTTGAAGAATCACATAAACACGTACTAGGCTTGTTGAAGAATCACATAAACACGTATGAGTACTATCTGGTATCACCCAGAAATACTTACTTGAAAATATTCTATTAACAGGCAAGAATGATGACCAAGAGAGCCGCCATAAATCACTTGTCCTCCTCTCTTCATTAACAATAGCTACAGGAAAAAAAGGTGTTGCGGCATAAGAACAAGAAGTTGAGAAACTACTCCCAAAGTAAAAAACTCTATAACTCATGGGCATGGCATGGCACAAAAATTGAACTTCTTTTTCTGTAGACATTCTAAAAGTGATTTTAATGATAATTACCTCATCAAAAGCTTCAAAAATATCTATGCTTGGTTGGTGAATAGTGCAGACAACGGTTCGTCCTGTATCTACGGTGTTTCGTACAGTACGCATCACAATTGCAGCAGCTCTAGCATCAAGACCAGATGTGGGTTCGTCCATGAAGATTATGGATGGATTTGCAACCAATTCTACAGCTATGGTTAGCCTCTTTCTCTGTTCAGTAGACAGACCATCTACTCCTGGAAGGCCAACTAAAGCATCTCTCAAGGGATTCAACTCGACCAATTCCATTACTTCATTAACAAACATCTAACAGAAAGAAGAATCATTAGTTGAAACCAACTCAAATCAGAGGTAAACAAAATCATCGGATTGAAGGCAACCTCTCACATGAAAAGTAACCAAAGATCTAGTGCAAGCTGACATACCTTTCGTGTTTGCTCATTTATATCTTGTGAAAGACGCAACCAAGCAGAGTATAGAAGGGACTCGTAAACAGTAACATGGGGAGAATGGATGTCATTTTGTTCACAGTAACCGCTGATGCGAGCAAAAGTTGATTGATTTTTCGGATAACCAGAAATATTGATACTTCCTTCAATGTATCCGCTAGTTTTTCTTCCTGCCAACACATCCATCAAGGTGGTCTTCCCAGCACCACTAACACCAACTAATGCCGTTAGAACTCCCGGCCTGAAAGCACCACTGACATCTCTCAAAAGTTGAAGATGAGATTTTTTAACTCCTTGCCTTTTCATTTCCTGGCAAAAATGCATGTTTGGAAGATTTCATTGCATCACTTGCAATATTATAGAGAGAGATATATCTTGCAAGTATAGAACTCAAAAGAAGTGACTTACGGTGGGCATATCAACATAATAATTCACGTGATCAAAGGCTAGAGACAAGGGTGTGAAAGGAAGCACCATTCCTTTTTTCTTGGTTGATTTCTCTTCAGAATTGTTTCCTTCGGACTTGTTTCTGATGGCCATATCTATACCTGCATTCATTAATGTCTGTCAGCCTAAATTGAAGACAGATAAGAAGGAAAATACTCAAATGCAAACAGTACAATCATTAATGAAAAGCTACAAATAAAGAAGTTATGACATGTAGAATCTCTTTATAATTACACAGTGTATTCTACAGATTTTTTTGGGGGTGAAACTCACGTAGACTCTTTCACCTAAAATTCATATAGTACTATTGAAAAGCATAATCCAAGAACAGCAAAGACAAAGTCGCATAATTCATAAGAAATCAACTGAGATAGAGACATTTTTGTTCAATGCTGCACATGATGTCTTTATTTTGTAATAATCAATCTAATCACCAATTTGATCATTTTGTATTTCTCAATATTATGGAGTCACATTTAGAAGAGCCAAAGACATTAGAAATTCAAATTAAGAGAATCAATGGCTATGGTCTCAGACCTTCAGACTTTGGAGCTGCAGAGGCTGGAGTACTCTCAGTTGTTGATCTTTCATTAGAGACTGGATCTTTCTTTTTCTCATTATCCTCATTCACAATAACAGATTTCGAATCACCAAGGGCTGCATGAGTTTACATTAAATGGTCAAAACTAGAATCAGACTCAATAATTCTGGCGGAAATAGAAAAGCAGAGCCATATCTTACGATTCAAGTATGTCAGCGCCACAGTAAAACAGATATTGAAGAGAATGGAAAACCCAAGGAGTGCAACAATACATATCCAATACATGTAGTCATCCACAAACATGCCCCTTGCCTTAAGAAGAACCTTCCCAACTGTAGGTTCGGGAAATCTTGGATCGGTGTTTGGCTAAGAAAGAGAGAAACAGTTAGATGTATTAAGATAATTAAACATGAAAAAAAATAAAAAAATAACTCACAGTACTCCATCTCTCATCCAGAAATTCATTAATGGCTATGGCATTCTGTCCATACATCATAGGGGAAATGTAACAACCCCATATCATCCATGGTTCAATGTCATCTGCTTATATAAAAGATTTAAAAGGTCATGTATATGAAACACGGGTACACAAACTTGTGTATATAAATTTACATATGATGGATTTGATGTATTACATAGGCACACACATTCGCAGAAATGAAATAATAAGTGTCAACAATGGAGAGACATGAAACTAACCTTTGGCAATAATAAAACCACCAAGGACAAAGACCAGTAGCAGTGAAAAGGTACCGAAAGTGTTGGCAATAACTTGTGTTCTTCCAAGGGAGGCAATAAAACGGAAGAGGGATAAAGCCATTTGATGCAAAGCAAAAAATGCCAATAGTTGGCGGAAAAACCTGAAAAATATAATGTGAGACAATAAGATTGAAATTTCTATTCTCATGTTTCTATATGCATGTGTTCTTCCAGGAACGTATATAAATGTAGTTAATGTTCAGGATCAAAGTGTAAGAACATACCTACTGGCTGCAGGAGCAAAGCCAATAGTGTAATAAGTAAGAACAATCCATATTAACGATTCCATAAGAGAGAGTGGGATCCTTAGAAGCCAAATTGGTAGTGAAAAAGCCCAAGCAGGGTAGAACAGAGCGTCCCTTTGTTTGAAGAACACAGGAAGTCTAATAACTATCAGTGCAAGTTCTGCTGTGCCATTAAACATCACATTAGTAAGGCTGAAAAACAGTGCACCATAAAATTTTTGTCCATCTTCCAGTTGACCAGATTTCATCTCTGTTCGAAAGAACACTGTAAAGGTAATTATTGACATAATAGTTATTTGGAATGTCTTGAATATATACAAGAAAGAGTTGCGTTTCATCAATAACCATTCCCTTGCCAAACATGCCTTGAAGAGTTCCATATGGGATATTCCATATTTATCTGTTACCAAAGCAGCAGGATGGGCTGTAGTTTTGTCATATGGAATTGATAGATCATTTAAAAGCTTCTGCCCAATGTGGGAAGAGTTGAACCGTTCCACAAACTCAGCCACTGAGATATAGCGATATGATTCATTCTTCTTGAACCAGTATTGCTCCTGGTCCTTTATAGAGGTAACCTCTTGCAGAAAGTCAGCAACTCCTTTTCTTTCAGGGCACCTGAATCCAACACTTTCGAAAAAATCAAGGATGCTTTCACGGGGACCTTGATAGACAATTTGTCCCTCTGAAAGCAAAATGATGTCATCGAAAAGTTCAAAAGTTTCAGGTGCAGGTTGGAGAAGTGAGATTATCGTTGTAACGTCCATGATATGAACCATCTGTCTCATATACTTAACAATTTGAAATGTAGTTGAACTGTCAAGACCAGTTGAGATTTCGTCAATGTAGAAAACTTTTGCTGGTCCAACCAACATTTCCCCTGCATTCAGCCCAAATATAAGAATTATAATCAAAAAACCTAATTAGAATCTGATCATAGCAAGAAAACAGCTGGCTTTGAAAATTTNATTCAGCCCAAATATAAGAATTATAATCAAAAAACCTAATTAGAATCTGATCATAGCAAGAAAACAGCTGGCTTTGAAAATTTTGGAATCCCTTAGATTCTATTTATATACCAGTTGTGAGCCTCTTCTTCTGTCCCCCAGAGATGCCCCTTCTCATCTCATCTCCCACCATTATATCTGGGCAAATGTCTAAACCAAGTATCTGTAATTGTGCCATAACAATCATTAGTTTGATATAGATACTTAAGTTGGCTAGAAATTATCTTCAACACTAAGAGGAAACCAACCTTAAGAACATAATCTGTGACTAAACTAGAATCTTGTCCCGCCATTGCTGTGGCTTTCACGAATGCATCTATTTCAGGATCAGGTTTAATTCCTGCATTTTTTTCTCGCTGTGACAATTCGACAAGGAGTTCATATCTGGTTCCGACTCCTAGGCAACGTCCTGAAAAATCCAATGTTTCTCGGACAGTCATCTCTCCGTGATGAAGGTCATGCTGGCTGATGTAAGAACAAGTCCTCTGGGGAATGAACTCTGACATTTCATGACCACAGTACGTGATTTTTCCCAATACCTACCAATATAATTTGTAGGAAATTGTGATTTAGTGAATAGAAGCCAGCAAAAAGTTGTAAACTATCAGCATGTCTGGTAGGGTGGATTGGGTAGCATCAGACATTGAGGAAGGAAAAAAAGTTATAATCATGTCCATTATACCATTCAATCTTATCCAATACATGAACTATGTAATCATACAAGTAAGGACTGCGCACCCTAAGATCCTTTTCTAGTTCTCCAGCAAGTGCCTTCAGCAATGTAGTTTTCCCAGCGCCAGGAGGCCCAAGAAGCAGTGTCATCCTAAATAGCACAGAACGAGAGATGAATTTGATCACACAATTCAATTGGCTATGCCATTATGCACATTTTTTCATGTCATGAATACTCGTCAAACTCCAGGTTTCATCACGAAAAACTCCAAGATAAAGCTGTATCTCAAGATATTATGTTTCCTTTTTCTTTTAACTTCTTTCTTTAGTATAATGACAAATTTCATAAACTTAGCATGACAAGTCAAATGTTAAATTATTCCAGCGTCTATACATTTAACATTAACAGACCTTGATGATTTTATGATTCCACTAACATCATGAAGTATCTTGACAACCCTTTTCTTGGAAGGAAGAATCTTCACTTTTTCAAAAACTCCCTGAAGACAGAAAAAGATTAAAAATAAACTTGAATGAAAGGAGATACTTTACCTTGCCCTGAAACTTGAATGACGACCGATACTAATCATAATCAGCATAAATAAAAAGTATGTGAAGTCTAATCTCGATTACAAGCTCATACCTGTTAAATTCATCATAAGAAATAAACCAATTACCTCAATCAGATTTAAGGTAACATTTAGCAGTGTAGGAAGTGCCCTTGATCCAACATATGCATCTCCTTCAATAGACAAGTGCTCATAACGAACTTCAATTTTGGGAATATCAATTCCCACCCTTATGACAAAAGAGGAGAGTTTCAAAGATCCAATTCAAACAAAAAATTAGGAATAATCATCTCATGAATAAACAAATTTGAACAGATAAAACATCATCAATACCATAACGACAACAAACTATACATCTTGTTCCAGATAAATGTAATATTCATCCTTAACAACTGCAATGTCATTAATATATATATAAAGTAAATTGTTTTGTTCTCACCTATCAGTCCTATCCCTTAGTCTCTGGAGGAACCTCTCATTATCTTCTTCAACCACTTTAAGAATGTTCTCGAGTAGCAACTTCTTATCTTGATTTCCCAGATTGGCAACATCAACCTCTTCACGAACAACTTTCCCATCATCCAACACTTGTTTAAGAATCCCTTTTCTTACACGATCATACGTCGGAAGCCTCTCAATTGCTGCCCACA